TACTAAATAAAATAAATATATATATTCCTGAAATAATATTTTATTGTTCGAATGAGCCAACACTGTATATTTTCATACACATCTATGCCTTCGTTTTACATGTGCGCACACAGACACCTCCCGACACATGTACAAATCACACACGCACGCACGCACGCGCGCGCGCGCGGGCTTTCTTGCACATTTCGGAGAGGCAATGTAATTGGATTATCGGATTTATGTTATTCCCATCCTAATGCGGCACTGCATCGCCGCTCTTCTTGTTGGTGGATTAAGGCATATTTTATCGTATTGGAAGTGTCCTCAAACCCGTTGGTTCACACCGCCGGTATAACGAAAGCCTCTTTCACTGGCAGATTTTGGCGAAGTGACGTGCTTCTAAACGGTAGACGGTGACTCATTGTTTGCTATTAGAAATAAATTCGGCGAATCTAAAATGGATGACAGAAATGTTCTCTGTATTAAAAAAAGACCTTAATCATAGTAAACAAAAAAACGCAGGCGTAAACTTTACAGACGCCACGGCTCCGCTGGGACACGGATGCCACTGTAAAAAGAGTAACTCGACTCGTGGCGCCACCTGTTATGATTTTAGAAAAAATAAAATGGCGCCTTTTTGAGGTGGTAGCAGTACGTATTGATTCAAGTGGATGACACAACCAAATATTAATTTGGGGCATTGTGTCTGATTTTCGGAGTTTGCGTTTGTTGAATTTGAAGTGAAAATGTATTCCGTTTTGAAATAAGGCAGTGACATCACAAAACGTGGAAAAATTGGAGCGCCGCGACGATACTTTCCAGATGCACATTATCCACGTTCCGAGTAACACACACGGTTTGTGGCCTCTGTTTAGTCGGCAGGTTAGAAGAGCGAGAGGTGGACCTGAAGAAGGAATACAACTCCCTCCATCAAAGGCACACAGAGGTAAGTGGGAAAAGAAGACGGATGGGAAGAACAGAATTCGGGTCAATATCTTTCACGGCGTTCCTGACTTGGCTTCTGGGCCGTTCGTGCCGACCCTTCCAGATGATCCATAATTATATGGAGCACGTAGAGCGCATCAAAATGCAGCAAGGCGGCGAGACGTCTGAACCGAGCAGCGGCGGCCGAGTCCGGTCAGTCACCGTTTTTTGTGTTCACATCAATTTCAGTTGCGTTCATCTTGAATGTTCAGCTCACTTGGCATGATAAGGAAATCCGCTCTTCTCCTCCACACCTCTGCAGGAAAGAGCGTCCGCTTTCTTTGGGCATCTTCCCAACATCCGCTGGCGGGTCTCTGCTGATTCCCGACTCGCAGAGCCGTGCGGAGACGCCAAGCGCGGAGGGCTGGCGGCTCAGCGACACGACACACACTCGCTCCAACACCAGCCTCCAGGTGGGTGCGCGTACGACGCATTCCGGCTATTCCTCTCCTGGTGGAGTTTTTGGCTTTTGGTCACTTGAAAAATAGAGACCCTTTGATCAGGCGTGCGCACGCTCACGGGCTTTCGTAGGCTCCTGACAAAGGCCTCTCTATTTTCAGACATCCTCTTTTCGAGCGGCCATGAATATGCAAAGCGGTCTTTTTTTCATTTTCAATTGGTGCGATGCCCGAAATGAACTTTTAGAACCTGGGATAATGACGAGGTGGGAGTGATGACACCTCCGCGTGGCCGAATGCGAGGCACACTCGCCGGAGTGTCATTGTCCCTTATGTAATCAGCGCCGCAGCCTTTGGGATAAGAGTGTGATGACGGAACCAATAAAACTCTCAAGTTGAGGCACCGTATTCCTATTTTGCCTCGTACTTGCAGAAAAAAAAAAAAAAACGTGCCCGTTGACTTCACAGAGATGCACACTTGCTTTGGAGCGTTTGCATTTTCTGCTGAATGCATACATGAGCTTCTATCTTACTCTCCTCCCCCCAAGCAGCAGGACTTTGCCAACCCCCCAAGAGAAAGGGGGGGTAAGAGCGCGCAAGACTCTACTTGGGGGAGTTCACTGGCTGACGACTGCAAGGTAGTTGACTGACTGTCGGGTGGTGGAGAGCGCCGACACGCTCCCGCATCTGCTGCGGCCACCACCTTGTCTGTGTGTGTGTGTGTGTGTGTGTGTGTGTGTGTGTGTGTGTGTGTGT